CACACACACACACACACACACACACACACACACACACACACACACACAGTCTATAAGCTCCATGTCATCGCCTGAATTACTCTGAAGTCGGTTTTATTAAAATGTGGCCTTGTCCCTAATATCAGTGTGGTTCAGCAATAGAGTCCCTCACACCTCTCTTCCACGAAACATACGGATCAAATCCGATTAATAGACCCTCCTCCTCCCCCTTCCCCTCGCCCCACCCCGTGCCACCCCGTCATTGATTGATTGATTGATTGATTGATTGCCCCTACCCCCACATTTTTGGACGCCTGTCTAAGGCGATTGGAAAACGAAATCGATTACATAATCGATTTCGTTTTCGAATTGTCTCAAACAGGCACCTGCACGAGGCTGCACGGGCCAGTTCGCCTCGCCCAGGTGCTTGTTTTAGCCGATTCGAAAACTGAATCGATTACGTAATCGATTCAGTTTTCGAATAGCCTCAAACACACATCTGGCCGCGGCGAACTGGCGCGTGCAGGTGCCTATTTTAGCCGATTCGGAAACTGAATCGATTACGTAATCGATTCACTTTTCGAATCGCCTCAAACAGGCGTTATGAAATGTGGGGGTGGGAAAGGATTGATCGATCGATCAATCAATCAATCAATCAATCAATCACTCAATCAGTGGAGGGGGAGGAGCGAAGAAGGAGCGGAGGATGGGGGAGGAGCCGGCGTGGGGGGAGGAGTGGCAGAGGAGCGAAGGTTCGGGGAGTGGCCTCCGCTCGTCCCCCCGCCTGCTCTCCTCCCTTCACCCTGTTCCTCCGCAACCCCCACTCCTCGGGAACTCTCTGCCCGCCTCCACCTTTTTCACCGTCTCCGCTCCTCCGCCGTTCCTCCCCCCGCCTTCCCCCGGATGCACTCCTCCTTCGCTCCTCCCCCCCCACTGATTGATTGATTGATTGATTGATTGATTGATTGATTGATTGATTGATTGAATGATTGCCCCTACCCCCACATTTTTGGACGCCTGTTTGAGGCGATTTGAAAAGGAAATCGATTACGTAATCGATTTCGTTTTCGAATCGCCTCAAACAAGCACCTGCACGAGGCTGCACGGGCTTGTTCTCCTCGCCCCGGTGCTTGTTTTAGCCGATTTGAAAACTGAATCGATTACGTAATCGATTCTGTTTTCGAATAGCCTCAAACACACATCTGGCTGCGGCGAACTGGCGGGTGCAGGTGCCTATTTKAGCCGATTCGAAAACTGAATCGATTACGTAATCGATTAAGTTTTCGAATTGCCTCAAACAGGCGTTCAGAAATGTGTGGGTGGGAAGGGATCAATTAATCAATCAATCAATCAATCAATCAATCAATCAATCAATCAATCAGTGGAGGGGGAGGAGTGAAGAAGGAGCGGAGGATGGGGGAGGAGCCAGCGTGGGGGGAGTGGCAGAGGAGCGAAGGTTCGGGGAGTGGCCTCCGCTCGTCCCCCCACCGACTCTCCTCCCTTGGCCCCGCTCCTCCGCAATCCCCACTCCTCGGGAACTCTCCGCCCGCCTCCATATTTTTCACCGTCTTCGCTCCTCCGCCGTTCCTTCCCCCGCCTTCCCCCGACTGCGCTCCTCCTTCGCTCCTCCCCCCCCACTGATTGATTGATTGATTGATTGATTGATTGATGGATGGATTGATTAATTGATTGATTGATTGATTGATTGCCCCTACCCCCACATTTTTGGACGCCTGTTTGAGGCGATTCGAAAAGGAAATCGATTACGTAATCGATTTCGTTTTCGAATCGCCTCAAACAAGCAAATGCACGAGGCTACACGGGCCAGTTCTCCTCGCCCAGGTGCTTGTTTTAGCCGATTCGAAAACTGAATCGATTACGTAATCGATTCAGTTTTCGAATAGCCTCACACACACATCTGGCTGCGGCGAACTGGCGTGTGCAGGTGCCAATTTGAGCCGATTCGAAAACTGAATCGATTACGTAATTGATTCAGATTTCGAATCGCCTCAAACGGGCGTTCAAAATGTGGGGGTGGCAAGGGATCACTCAATCACTCACTCACTCACTCACTCAATCAATCAATCAATCAATCAATCAATCAATCAATCAATCAATCAATCAATCAATCAATGGGAGGGGAGGAGC